GGCAAGTGCAGCCGGGCTGATGGCCGAGTGCTGTGATGTGCCCAGCGTGGGCACTCCGGGCACTCCAAGCCAGGACTGGTTTGCAAGCAGGGCACCCCTGAGAACTGTCTGTCTGGGGTGGGGGTCGGGACCCTTTAAGCACAGCCCTCGGCTAGCCTGAGACAGCATCTCCACGCTCTAAGTCCTCCTCTGATGCCCTGCCGGCACTGCTTCCGGCCATCCTTAAGCCCGGTTCAGGGTCCACTTAATGTGGACATGCTAGTTTGAATCAGCAAAACGCTAATTCGAACTAGTTTTTAGTTCTAGACGCGTTAGTTCGAATTAGCTTAGTTCGAATTAACTAATTCAAACTAAGTTAGTTCGAATTAGCGCTGTAGTGTAGACGTACCCTCTGATAGCCTTTGATTTCAGTGTTTCAAAATACACTGTGTAGTCCAGATTAAGCAGACAGACAGAATGTTCGTGCAGAATTTGAAAAGCAAAACCTGTTAAATCTCTTTTAATAATTTAATCAGTAGTTCAAACACTGCTAACACATCAGAAGTAAATTCAGCCAGTAAAATTTGTGCTTCACGCAGAACTCTCTTTCATTTGGCTCAACAGTAAGAGAGAGATGGCCCATTTTTATCTCAAACAAGATGGACTTTTTTATCTGAGCTCACTGTGGGGAGTGAGCTTAACTCAACCGCTAGGGTCAGCCAGATATTTTTATCACTGTGTTAAAGTGCTACCACACTGGCAGGATTCGGCAGCTTTTCTCCTGGGGAGTATTATACTGGTTGCGCTACTTCTGGTTTCATCCATGTTTTGGAAATGAGGATTTAAGAGACTGCACTCAAACAATCTAAAGGAATTACCTTACATCTAAAGAGTGCAGCTGGGCTATGCTTTGTAGAGCCATTTGCTAGAGTCTAATGTCACATCAGTATCTTTGTTGAACACTGTCTTCTTTAAGAGTCCTCTTCAAATGAGAACAAATTAGCCTTGAGAATTCACTAACCTGCATATAACTCGGTTGCCTTAAGGGGATAAAGCCATGCAGAATTAAACTGTATTATCTGTAACAATACAATTATAAAACTTACTTTCCACCCCAGTAGAGTTTTGTTGTTATGACCAGACTGGACCTCCTGTGCATAAAAAAGAAAAAAATAGGTTGCAGTTTTGTTTTTAATAGGCATATGGAGTAAAAATTAAAACAAATCCCTCTTCAGATGTTGTATCACTGCCCAAGTAGCAATTTCTTTTTATTTATAGCTAAAGAAGTCCAAAGGTCTATCTTCAAATGAGACCTTCAATTCAAGGTTCTTGACTTTAGCCTACAGCAAAATGCATAACAATGACTCTACATTCGGATTGCTTCTAGTGAACAACTATACACTTTCTTATTCCAGTCCAAGTGTAGATGGTCAATGGTGCAATACAATCTTGTTACATTGTAAACAAAATGTGGACTGTAACATAATAACTAAGTGTGATGGGGTGATGCAACTCCACACTACGGGAACCCCTCCCCCCCGGTGGCAGGGTGAAGCAACCCCTCATCGGTCGGCCATCCAGGGAGCCAAGGGAGGCGGAGCAAGTCATTGGGACCCACCCTGAGGAGGCAGCCATGAAGGCTGCGCGGACCCCAGGGGAGAGTTGGTCTGGGGTTGGGGAGACAGCCGGCACAGGTGCAGTGGAGGCAGGCCGGGCCAGGGACATTGGCGCGAACTAATGATGCCACCGGGAGGCCCAGAGGAGGCGTCACCAGCGCAGTTCCGGGACTCGGTGGGGAATTCAAAAGGGCGACAGTCACCCAGGAAGAGGGAGGTTGCAGGGATTCGGTGGAGGCACGCAGGGGCCGGAGGAGGCAGGTAGGAAGTGGCCCAGGGCAGGGCCCAGGAGTGGCCCATGGGCTGATGTGTTTAGGGGCGACTCCCTGTCAGCCAAGAAGGGAAGAGCCATCCCTGCCTTAGGGCCCTGGGCTGGGACCTGGGAGAGTGGGCGGGCCCGGGTCCTCCCACCCCACCGTCCGCGGCAGGGATCCGTACATGCGAGAACTGTAGCATGGGCTAAACGGTTTGTTTTTCCGGTACTGACTGTGCCGAGTGTGCATAAGGATAATAGTGGTGATGGGGAGATCACAATAAAAGGGCATTGTGGTGCAGATGCAAAGGTGGTCTCTGTACAATAAGATAACATCTATACTCAAGTATAAGCAAAGTTAGCATTTTCCTGAAGAATTAGGGGCTAATTCTCATCTCACAACTGTATATAGCAACTGGAACTCCATTGAAATCAATGGAATTACACTACAGACTGAATCTCTCTAGTCCAGCACCTTTGAGATCTGACTGTTGCCGAATCAGAACATTTGCTGACCCACAGTAGGCCAATATTGTCTAGCAGAATTACCAACACTTCCACTGCTTACTGGGCTTTTAGAAGACATTGAGGGGTAAATAAGAGCTAAGTAACAGCACTGAACACCAAGAGCCAGGGCTGGTGACTATATATACACTTTTTGGGATCATGCGAAACTTGGTCACACCCATGATAAGTGGATACCCAGCCAACTAAAATCATGCTGAACCACAGATGTTGTCAGACCAGAGAGCACTGGACTAGAGAGGTTCGACTTGTAGTGTGAAAGTGATGGTAGTGAGAGGAAAATCAGATCTGTTCAGCACAGCATTTAACTCTCCCAGAAAAGGAAAAGAAAACATATTAGTCACTGCTTTTAAAGGCTCATTTCTCAAGCCCACAGATGAGGGATTTATAAAATCACATGCTCTGCTGTAGCTGCTGCTAAGTACTTAGGCATTACAGTACCCACAGGAACCCCTGCTGGTTATGATGAACAACAAACTATTCTGGCAATTTCAATAATGCTGCTGTGTCGAGAGAAAGTAGTAGAAAATGTCACCAAAAGGAGCTGGTGTAAATTACTGTTAGGAAACTACTTCAGTGAGAAGCAGTAATAAAGAGACCTTGAGATATTAAAATCAAAAGAAGATGTAAGCAGAGTCTGAATCAATGCTTCCATTACAGCCAGCTGGAATGGGAAGGAAATCCGGGGTGTGGTTATGTAAATACAGTTCACTCAGTTTGCTGTTAGAAGGTGTTTTGTCCATTGTAACCAATTTGGCTGTGGAGAGGTCACAAACGGTGTTATAGCAATAAATGCAGGAATTATAAGATATGCCCACCAATGCTTGCAGTTAGTGTGGGAATGCAGAAAAGTCAGTCTGTGTTTAACTCTGTTCAAAGGAGAGGTCCTGTCAGTGTAAATAAACTTGGATGGACAGAGGCCCCTTTTCACAAGTCCTACAGATGAAGCCGGGGAGGAAGGTGAGCCAGCAGGCTTCATGCCCTCCAGGTGCGTGCTGGAAGACTGGTGTGCTGTAAGGCTATTTCTCCCCACTGTTTCAAGAAAGAAAGGCTCCATAAAGAGTCTCTTTTGTATGTAAATTTACTCCAGTGAATGCTGGAATCTCTTCTGGCTGGACTGTGCTTTGGGCTAAGAGCAGAAATCACTAGGTTTGGCCCAGAGCCAAATCCCCCACAAGCCAGTGGAAGATGCGATGAGCAGGCAGCAGGGTGGCGATGGCGAGGTGTGACAGCGCCAGTGAGCAGGTGGATGGCAAGTGACCAGCAGAGTGGCTGAGATGCCTCCTACACGCGCCCCCAACTTAGGATGGGAGATGAACTCTGCAGATCACCTGTGAACTCTGGTCTTCCCTGACCAAGGGCAGCGACTGAGTGGGGTGCAGAGTAGGGATGCATATGCTTATTGGGTAGTCGAGTAGTAACTCAACTAGTCACTTCCCCCTTCCCTTGCTGCCTCTATCAGAGAGAGGTAGCAAGGGGGGGGGGAGCAGGAGCTGGGGGGAGCTGGCTTAAAAGCTGGAACCCTCCCCCCCACAGTCTCTGTGGGGGGGCAGAGGAGGCTGAGGCATAGCACGGTCCCAACCTCTGCATCTCTGCCTTTGAAATGTAGCAAGACTCCCAGGCTCTTGCTACATTTCAAATGCATAAGCACAGAGGGGGAATACCGGGCAAGTGGGGACTGCTTGAATCCCTGCTCACCCCATGTTCCCCGCTGCACCTCTGCCTTTGAAATGTAGTAAGAGCCAAGGTGGCTCTTACTACATTTCAAAGGCAGAGGTGCAGCTGGGACAGCGAGCATCCCACCTCCCCCTTATCAACTAGTCGATGGAAATTCCATCGACTATTTGATTAGCTGGTTAATCAAAATTTAACATCCTTAATGCAGAGAAGGTTTGGGCATGTGAAGGAGATGTTTACATTGCTGGACATGAGAACTTGAGAGGAAAAGGACATCGCCTAACCTTCTTGAGCTGGGATGTTTAGTCGTGGTTTTGGTTATGAACTTTGTTTGTGGTGTTTTCCCAAATTAATGCCATGTTACTTCTCTCCCATTTTATTAAAAGTTTCTTTTCCACACACAGACTCTGTGCTTGCGAGTGGGGAAGCACTGCCTCCCAGAAGTGTTGTATGAATTTCCCAGGTTACTGGGTGGGGGCTCAAGCCAGTTCTGGGATGGATGGATGGATGGAGAGGAACCCCTACATATTGAACCTGGCCCTGGGCTGCTGCTGGCAGAAAAGTTACAAATTAAACAAGCATCTATTGGCTGGAAAATAGTTTGATGTATACTCCAGAATCTTTGTCAACCTCTCTTCCGGGGCCTGACCCAAGGGCCATTAGTCGATAGAAAGGTTCCCAATGATTTAAATTAACATTGAACAGGGCCCAGAATTTTTGTTCTGACTTCAATCAGTTGTACGACTGCAGCAAGGAAGAGTGAGCAAAATTTGTTTCATAGTTTTATATACATAAAAAAATAATTCAGCAACCATCAGCCACACGTGCTGACAACGAATTCTGTTGAATATGCACACAGAGAATGTACAATTCGAATAAAGCAGCCCCACTACATTTATAATACTGAACAATTTGGGGGCAAGCTTTCAAGAACAAGAGCTTGTTCCGGTAAAATCAATGAGATTTCTTGCCATGACTTAAAAAAGAACAGGTTCTGAACTTATGCATACATAGGCAACAGATTTGTAATGCCATGGGAATTAGGCACCTAAATACTTTTTAAAAACTGCGTTGGGTGCCTACATTGAATTATGTTCAGAGCAGCAAAAGCATAGGCAATATATACAGCATGGGGATCCTTTTAAAAAATGTCCCCTTTTTTATTTGAGATTTATCTAAAATTAAAATAATTATTAACTCAAATTCCTGCATAGATTCTGAAAAGATATAGAACAGTTACAGGATTTATCATCTGTACTTTTGCACTTTGTTCTGCAGCACTCTGAGTCTCTACTGAATAATCATTAAACTAAAGGATACTTATATTTGATGTGTTGAGAACTGGAGTGCCATTGGGATTATTTCTTAGTGGAGGAATGCACAGGACAGATTGTGCAGATCTTTAAAGATCATGTAAATGTCACTTAAATTACACAAGTATATGCTAGGGTACATTCAGAAATGAATAATTTAAATTAGATCTCATTTGAAGCATCCAAAAAGAAACCCCCTCTTGCTTTTTATCTCTTTATATATAATGTTACATGGGGGTAAAAATTGCTCAGATTGCAGAGTCAAGAAAACTCAAGCCAGGCACCCAGAAAATGAGGAACACATACTTAGAGACCACCTATGAAAAGTCTGGTTTAAATGATTTGACCACCATCACACAGAAACTCTGTTAATGAGGCAGGGATAAAACAGCTTTCCAGAGCAACATTCAACTGCCTTAACCATGAGACCATTCTTTCTCTTCCTGCAATCCCTGCCCCATTCACTGCATTTTCCAGCTTCTAAATCTACAGACCACAGTTGCCTTCAGTGCAACTTGATTGTTCACCAGTGCAGACCCATACTGTGCACTAAAGTAGGCAGGGGTCCTATGGAAAAAACAATGTGATAATGATGTAATTAAAGACGATATCATAATGTAACATACAAGGGAGCTGAATTAATTTGCCTAGACAACCTTAATTCTGGTATTTTCTAACTTTTCCTAACGTAGTAAAACATATTTTTTCCAACCTGGTTCTCAAAAGTGGCTGAATCTCCCCTTCCTCCCCCCAAAATTCAGTCTGAGGCGGATAGCTGGTATAGAAATTTCAGTCCAAACAGGTAAAGTCTATGTTTATGCCAGCTTTTCCAAGCAGCCACTGGTTCCAGCAAATGTTAAAAAAGCTATTTAAAAAAAAGAATTTAGATATGTTCTCTGGTGCTGACCTTCTTCCACTGAAATAAAAGAGAATTTTATCATTGATTTCAATTGCAATAACCATCAGGTCCCAAAAATCTATACAGTACCTCCAGCCCTTCTTCTTGATTATATTTCCCAGAATCACCTCAGCCCTGGGGAGGGAAAAAATGCACTTTGAGTATAAAACACTTTAAAGACTAGAATGCACTGACCATAAAACAAATCATGAAGCCCATTATTCATTGGGACTCTCTGCCATAAGCACCAATATGTAACACAAAAAAAATCTGCTCACATTCAACTTTTATTTTTTCCCACTTAAAATGACCTTAATGTGCCTTTTTGCACTGCCTTTATGCAGCAGAGTTGTAAGTTAACAATCCAGTGTCTGTGCTAAACAGAATCAATGTAATAAATGTCACACTTGTAAAGTCAAATGTGAGTCAAAGAATTGGTTTTTAATTGTAGCACTTCTCCCCTCTCCAAATGTCAGCAGAGTCATGTTGATTGGGCAGAAACACACTGCAGTTTCAGTTTAGCTATAGAATGTCTACCAAAAAGGCTGCAGAAAATTGTAAGCCAAACCCTTAACTGTCTTGCACCAGCCTGTATTGCCCAAACACTGCAGAAATGTCATTCAGTTGGACGGGCAACCCATGCAGCAGAGAAACTGCACATGAGCCTGCTTGAGTACTGCGCAGCTAAAGTGACATTGCTAGTGGGTCTGCACAGGGAGATGTGGAGGAGGGAAATTGGCCTTTTACCCCCAAATGGGAGAATGACCAGCACAGACTACCTTTACCAGCATTGCCTGGAAGCATGCATTGATGGCTGTGTGCGCTTCCTTCAGCCCCATTGTGCTTCAGGGCATAACCAGCCAAAACACAACTCTAAGTAGGACTTTGTTCTTTTTAAAATTAGTCAGTTTAAAGCTGAGTGGTACAAAACTGCCTTCACAAAGGCCAGGATCTAACCCACTATATTTTGGGTGTGCACGCTAAGTCAGCTCCAGGTCATTTTGTGCATGCAAGAAACTGAAAATACAGAATGAACTGAAGGGGAGCACATACTGAGCAGCAAACTAGGGGGATGAAAGCCCTTTTTAGGGCTTAGTTTCTGGAAGAAACAGGGAGACTAGACTGAGAATTTATTTGTAGTACAGCAGGGATTCCCAACCTGTGGTCTGCAGACTCCTGGTGGTCTGCAACGGTCCATGGAAAGTTTAAAAGTAAGGATTGGGACCACCGTGGGACTGGGACTTTCCACCAGGTGATTCTCACCTGAGGCTTGCTGTTCGCAACCATCCGTCCTCCCATTGCCAGCTGCACTGCTGTTTACGTTCCAGGCCTGTGGTGGGCCCAATCCTTACTTTTCTTTTCCTTTTTTTTCTCCCCCAGGGCTCCGTGCCTGGCCAAGGGTGGAGTGCCAGGGCAGGAGCTGCCTTTGGACAGGAGAGCCTCCTCGCCATATCCTCCCTGGATGGGCAAGGGATGTAGGGGGCAGAAGCTCAGGAAGCAACATGGGCCAAGGGATATGCTGGCTGCCGCTTCCTGCCGCTCCCCTTGACCCAGAACAGGGAAAGGCAGGGACAGAGAGCTGACAGCCTCCAAGCCTGCAGATGTTCCATCTGGATAAAAAGTCCCAGTGCACCAGCAGTTTACCCTGCTGCTCTGGGAAGTGCTGTGGACTCTGCTGGGACACTTGTTTGCTTGCAGAGTCTGCATTCGTTTGCTTGGAGGCACAGAGCCTCTCAGCTCCCATTGGCTGTGAACAGCAAACAGCAGCCAATGGGAGCTGAGACGCTCCATGCCCTGCAGTCTGCCCCTCCCTCAGCCTGTGCTGAAGCTGACAAGCTGTGACTGTCCTCTGGAGTTGGCTTATAAACGGGTCAGTCACTTTTTACCATTTTTTCTCTCTTTTTGAAATGATCATGTTACGCGAATGCGTCACTCCACTCCAACCATTCAATAAAGATATATGGCACCTCAAAGTGGTTACAGTTCAATGTGGACACCCGTATTCTCTCTCAATACTACTATATTTGTTTAGATAACATGAACTATTATACATCTCAAATGATTATCAAGCAATGGAATGTTTGAAAATAGTTATAGTGTTGGGGGTCTATAAAATTTGCATAGATCGAAAAGGGGTCCATATGCTCAAAAAGGTTGGGAACCACTGTACTAGAGAATGAGGGGAAATGCGCTCTCTCTAAAGTATCTGCTTCTGGTCTAATGGCTTGTCTAAAGAAGAAAGTTGCACCGATTTAACTGTGCTGATGCAAGGGATGAAGGAGGCATAAGATGCTCCCTTCCTCTAAGGATGTGGGATGACGGGGGAAAACAGTGAGAGGGCAGGGCATGGACAGAAACTTGGCTCCTCCCCCTCCAAGGCTGAGCAGCGGAGCTGAGCTGGCATAGAAAGAGAAGTAAGCTGCAGAGTAACAGCAGTTTACTGCTCAGCCCAGAGCCAAGGGAATGACCAGGTAAAGAATTGTGACTTTCAGAGTCACAATCCATCCCTTGGTCTCCAGCTAGCGTAACAGAGTTGCACACTTCCCCTTACTTAGCATGGGCTGTGATGTCACAAACTAACCCAAAAGAACTGAGGGTATGTCTACACCTCAAAGTTAATTCAAAATAACAACCGTTATTTCGAATTAACCTTACGAGCATCTACACAGCCAAACCGCTATTTTGAAATAAATTCGAAATAGTGGAGCGCTCATTTCAAATTTGGTAAAGCTCATTCTACGAGGAATAACGCCAAATTTGAAATAGCTAATGCAAAATAAGTGCTGTGTAGACACTTATTTCGAAATAGGGGGCCTCCAGCCTTCCCAGGGTGCCTTGGTGGCCACTCCAGCCTCAACCAAGAACACTCCTCTCCCTCCCCGGAGCCCTTAAAGGGGTAGACTCTGGCCACAGTGCCTGTGCCAGCTCCAAGCCTGCCTATCCAGAGCCAGCAATCACTGCCCCGACTCAGTGGCCCCAAAACATGAGCCAGCAAGCCACTGGCAGCCAACCCTCCACTGCTCCCCAAGAGCAGTCTGCCCCGTTCCCTCCTGGACTAGTGAGGAAATCATGGACCTCACTGAGGTTTGGGGGCAGGCCCCCAATGTCCATGATCTCTGCACTAGACGGAGGAACGTGGCCATCTATGGCAGGATAGCTGCCAACCTGGCCACCAAAGACCACATGCGAACCCAGGAGCAGGTTCGCATGAAAATCAAGTTGGTCCAGTGAGCCCCCAACCCTGAGCTTCCCCTTCCAGCTTGCTTCTTTCTCCCAGGTTTTCCCCCTCCCCTCACGCACTCTCTTGCCTCCTTTCTCCAGTCTCAGCAGAGTTTCATACCCTCCCCCCCGTTTTGTTAAATAAAGAGAGTTTGTGTTTATGAAAATACGTGTATTTTATTTGACATCAGGAAGGGGGGTTAGGGAGGAGTAAGTGGAAGGACGTGAGGGAGGAATGAGGCACTAGCCCCCAGTGGGGCAGACCAGGGAGGCTCTTAGTGCTCCTCAGGGTGGAAGCTCTCCTGTAGAGCCTTCTGGATACTGACAGCCCCCCAATGGACCTCCTGTTTGGCAGCCTGCAGAAAGTGCAGCCAGGCTCACAGCAACGCATTCACGAGAAACGCCAGAGTGCCCAGGGGCAGTTCCGGCTCTATGCTGCAGAGTGCTGTGCTGTCCCGAGTGTGGGCAATCAGAGCACGCAGAGACAAAATGCTTTGCTGTCCCTCAGAGGTAGGCAAGCGAGCAGGTAAATCAGAGAACCAGCTGCCCGGGGTGGGGTCCCTTTAAGCACAACCCTCAAATAGTGTCAGGCAGCAGCCACACAAATAAACTCCTGATCTGACGTCCTGCCGGACCTGGTTCTGGCCAGCCTTCAAGGTGATTCAGCGTCCACTCAGTGTGGACACTATTTCAAAATAGCAAAACGCTATTTCAAAATGCATTTTGTGTGTAGATGTGTTATTTCGAAATAAGCTATTTCGAATTAACTTATTTTGAAATAACACTGTAGTGTAGACATACCCTGAGTGATTAATATTTGTAGAGAATCTCCCCCCTCCCCTTTTAATTAAGCCATGGCATTAAGAGCCTTAGTCCTCTTTCCATAAAAGCCATTTCCTTGACATTTTGTATCAGGATTTTAATACCATCAGCATCATGAGCTGTTAATCACCATTAAGAGGTATGCTGACTTTTCATTTATTCTGGATGCGTTTCTCCATACATCTATAATGAAATGCACAGAGTGGGGGTACATGTGAAGTACTAGCAACACATTTAGATTTGTTAGCCTGATCCAGTTCTCTCCCTTGTGAATGGGACCCCAAAATAGGGTCTCTATTTCTTCAGTGTGGCTACTGAGCTGGAATCTCAGCTGGTGTAAAATTGGCACATGATCGTTCACAAAAAAAAGTGTGAAATTCTTGCTAAAAAATAATATTCATTCTCTCTCTCTCTCTTTGATTTGTTATTTAAAATTTCTGGGCAAGGGCCCACTTTCCTCTTTGTTTACACAATGGCACCGGTGTAACTACCTAATGACTGACACTGGGCAAACCCCTCCTCCTCCTCAGCTTAAAGATGGCCAGGGCTGGAGGCCTTGCAGAAGTGATTAATCACTCTTTCAGAGGTGGCCCTGCATGTGGAGCCCTCTTTGTTCCCTGCTCAAGCTGAAATGGGGATAAATGCAGCCAAGTACCCTACATTCCTGGCAAGAGTACAGGTACCTGCTTGAGAGAGGAAAGAGGGGAAAAGCACACAGATATCCCAGTCTCTCTCATAGAAAATATGAGGTTCTATATAAAAAGCGTTGGTTTGTTTTTTAGAAATATAGTTTTTAGTCAGGTGTCATTATAGGCAGGGTGTGGAGTAGAGCAAAACTCATCCCAGTGGGATGGTGAGTGTTTCACATGGAGGGGAGTAGCAAATTTTCACATCCAATTGCCAGATCAGGAGATCTGGGACCAAGTTGGCTGAACGACTTGTTAAAGTCTGCAAACCTGAGCTTTGCTCATTGTACTGTATGGTATGTCCAAACCTTAACAAACCCCCAGGGAACTCTAGCAAACAGGAGAGGAAAAAAACATGAAGCACTATGAAAGAAAAGACTTGATTTTCATACATTGTGTGTCACATTGTTACCCTGGGTATAAGTTACACCCCAATTTTACAAAGTTATTGGAGGGCACCCCAAATACTTACAATTCTCCAGAAAGATAAAATTGGGGTGAAGTTCAATAACTTTGTAACAGGGTGGGGATACTAAGGCATTGGGGATCAAACATGTACATGAATCAAATTACAAAAATCAATATGGGTACTCCAGATTTACATCAGATTAACTGAAAACAGAACTCAATACATTTCTGTTGTTGTACTGCTTTAAAGGCTGAGTGAGGTTGGCAGCAAATAAATAGGTAGTTAAAGTGAAACTTGACTTGGTAAAATACTCCAACACATTGAGCAAGACATGCACTTACTTCCCCGCTGCGTACACCTCAGCTGTATCAAAGAGATTTACTCCACTCTCATAAGCGATTGTCATTAGCTGTTCAGCAACCTTAGGGAAGACGGAGACCTACGATTAGTCAAGTGGATGCAGAAACAACCCCAGCATGCCTGGCATGCTACTCACCATCTGGTCCAAGGAACAGGACAATGACCTTGGAATCCAATCTGGCACAACTGTAAGTCCCCACAGCCAACAATGCCAAATAAGGTAGCTGGTGCATCTTAGCCCTTTGTCCCACCAAGGAGCAGTGCAGTTAACATATCTGTCCCAGGATGTGCAAAGTTGTGGCAATATCCAATTACTTTATTGACAGTGTTGGAGCTTTCCCGTGTCATTATTGTCAAAACGTGATTATCTGAACTACTGTTAATTAAAACTCTGTTATCCAAAAGTCAGACACATGCCCAAGTGTATTGATTCGTTTTTAGCTGCATAGTGCTTTAATCAGAGTCACTCAGTGCAAGTGCAAACATACTAGAATCTACTGCCTCCCATAGATACCTGTCTGTAATTCCGGAGTCCCCGCTACTGGGTTCAGATAACAGGAGGCCAGAAGACAGGCTGTGACAAATAGTTGTACAAGCACGTTCCAGAGTCAAAGGCCCACCATTCTCAGTGCCCTGACTCCATCCCACAGTTATTCACATCTAGGGGCTGAAGAAGCATCTTCAGGAGATTTCAAGTGACAGAAGCACGCGAGTGGAGAGGCAGTGTTAGGTAGCTGGGACATTACCCCAACAGGGCTTTACAGAACAGTTTTAACACCTTCACTTGCACTCAGAACCAAATAGGAAATGTTACCATTAATGACTATAGTATGTTAGGGCCTCAACATATCTTGGGAGGGGAGAATTCCCCATGCTGATGGGCCAGCAAAAAGGGCTGAAGGTGCATAGCCTTGAAACATTCTCCCAGCCAGCCTGCAGAGAAGAGCACAGGAGGTGACCCATTAGGTGCTGTGGAATCCTGGGGGGAGGGCACAATGCCTATTTGGTTCCTTGCTCAAGTGATACAGCTTTACATTGCCCACAGAATAAGCCCGAAATGCAAGGATACTTCCATATCTCTTGGCTTCATATTGTATTCAAAAGATAGCACCTCTAACAGAGCAGCATCTCCTAACATATACTGGTGCACTGGTTCAGTACTGACACAAGGGAAGCATGCCACCTAACTCACTACCGTCAACCTCTGCAGCATCTATACGTTCCCTGGATGTCTCCCTTGATTTAGCCTGGTGTTGCTAGATCTGATAGGGGCAGAGCACAAAATAAGTTCCCCAATGGTGGGATAGAATTTGCATATATTGCCAAAATGCCACTTTGGATTTTTGTAAAACACAGCAGCCATAGTCCTGCTGTGTCTCCACTGAAGCCAATGTAATTGCCCCCAAAGTAAATCTGGTCCCCAGAGTGAACATAAAATCAGGTCATGGTGATTGGCATAAACTATACATATTTAATAGTTGGTTGATGGAAGTCAGGTAATTTCTCACCACTAGTAGGCATTTGAGAATGCTCACAGAGTTAATTACAGGTATCACAAATGGTTATAGATAATTTTTATGTGGGATTTATTATAACAACACCCAGTGGCATCAGCATGTCAATTGTACAAACTCTGTTTTTCAAGGGTTTGTAACTTGCCCAGTACTAGCAGCAGTAGGCTCAAGATAGCCAAACAAAAGTTGTGTGCTTGTTTTACAGGTGCACTGATACATTAAAGTGAATTAATTTGTAAGCAGTGCAGCACATACCACAAAACAATGGAATTGAGGACTTACCCTATTTAAGGACAAATTATGGGTATGTCCTTAAATTGTCCCATTGTGCCTATGCACCAACATAAGATGTTACAGGCACAAAGCACAAGGCTAAATACTGTTCTCATTTTCGCAGGTATAAATCCAGCATAATTCTACTGAAGGCAGTGAAGTTTCCCTAGATTTTCAACAGCATTACTAAGGGGCTGGCAGTCAGCATTCAGTCTGAAAACTCAGTGTATGTGCTTGGATGCTCTGTAGGGAAGTGGGGGAAAGAATCCTTCCCTTCAGCTGCTGATCTGCTGCAGACTTGTGTTCCTCACTGCAGAGGTTTCCTTGTACAGCTCTCCCTCAGAAGCGCATGGGTCACACTCCATCTGGAACTCCAGTATGGGTATGTCTAGACTACATGGCTCCGTCGATGGAGCCATGTAAACTAGTCTACCCGACATAGGCAAAGAAGCAGGAATTTAAATAATCCCCGCTTCATTAAAATAAACATGGCTGCCACACTGTGCCGACGATCAGCTGATCCGGCACAGCGCGGCAGACTAGACGCGGATCTGTCGGCTGGGGAAGCCTTTGCCGATCGATCCTGTAAGCCTCGTTCCATGCAGCACTGCAGTGGTGCATTGATTGTACACTGCCTTACTTTGATAATCATTTTAACTGACTATACAATACAGTGCGGCATTTTCAAATCACTGCTGCACTCCTTGGAAAACATCCCATGCTTCAATGGAGAGCAGCTGCAACCAAGCACAGAGCTCTGGCCAGCAAAAAAGAGGGATAGAGAGGAGCTAGCAGTTCAAACTCTTCCCATTTTCTAAAGGAAAACAATTGTTTTAATGCAAGTAGTTCACACAACCACAGCCAGTCCTGGTTACTTATACAGTTAATTGGTTTACGACTGAAATGGATTGTGAAATGTAAAATTGGCTGGCTCAGTAGTCCAGTTAGTAGAGCTGCCCAGTGTTAGGAAGAATCAAATTTCTTCTGCTCCAAAACCTGGCAATCCTCTCTTAGGAACTTAATTTCATGTCACAGGCAGAGTGATTATGAAGTCAGTATGCTTATGCATGGACCCCAAGGAACGCACAGACAAGACTTTCAAAAGTGTCTAGTGATTTTGGGCACTTTGATTCTTGGTGCCCCGGTTGTGACACCTTAAAAAGGCTTGATTTTCCAGTAAGTGCTGAGCTCCCGTCATCTTCTATAGAGTCTCAGGTTGGACCTCCCACCCCCCAAATCACTACTCAGCTCTGGGAATATTGATCATATATTCCTGTCCACCCGAGTCAGAATATGAGACAAAGTAAGATGCATCTACTATTTCAATATGTCCTCAACTGAGCATACCATATACATACTGTATAGAATATTTACAGTATAAATTTGATTTGTTTTCTTAAATTGAGAGATCAGAAAATGTGCTCTCAGAAGAGCAAACTTCAGAGACTGAGGATGAACTCCCAAGCACTGAAAAATTACAATCACAAGTGGACACAAATAGAATGTTAGGACAGTAGGACTTTCCAGAATTGGGTATTTGTTTCTTAACTTATTCAAAACTCCAACCTGTCACAATGTTGCTTCCACTCTGATACCAAACACACGACTACAACACGTTTTAAAACGATGGAGTGTCAGATTAAAAAGCTGAGGGGTAGCAAGCTGCAAGCACAGGCTCAACCCTGCAGAAATAACATCGTGCACCTGAGTAGTCCTATTGAAACCAATGGCAACTTTTCCTGCATGTAAAGAGAAGCTCATGCCCTAGTCAGCATGTTGGAGTCCAGGTTTAGGACCCACCTTTGCACTCTGCTCACTAGATTGATGGAGATCACAAATCACACACTGTGCAGAAAGGACATTCTGGTCCTCTTGGGGTCACTGATACTGCTTGATGGGAAGTGATGATGAGAGTTGTATGCATCATTATACTGCATTTTTTCACATACACCATATACGCCAAGGTCTGGCTTGGGCTGCACATAAATAAATCTATAGGCCTTTAGGATCAAATCTGTTCTCCAACTGGTGATCTCAAAGCCTACCGAGTGAAAGCGTTTAAAGACTTTCCCTGTAACATTTAGCAGTTATAGGAAAATAGTTATTTTGTACAAGAGCCTTGGCTTTACTTAGCTCCTTTGCAAACTCCAAAAACCATTCAGGCAAGATGAAAGTTGACTATTTAAACACATAAAAAGATCACAGAAGTAAAACATGCATTTATATTGAAACTGTGATTGAGTGATAATGCAAAACAAATTTAGATAGACCCTATTAAAGTCTCTCTCCTCTGGGAGTTAATATATCGGCATCTCTTGTTTTTATTAACAATCTTTGATAAACAAAGAAAATTAATTTTACTCTCAGTCATGATGCACGAAGGACATTCAGTTATCCTCTTTTTAATATAGAGGCAAAATGGAGGAGAGACAGGATGGAAAAGGTGGGGGATATGTGGTCACTGGGGATGTTTTTGGAACACTGGGGCACTGCAGTGGATGCTGTGGCTGGCAAGTTGAGCATGACAACAGCTGCTTGGACTCTGGTTCATATTCTAGTCAAGGATGTCATCCATTTGGATCCTTACTCCTTAGACAAGACAGCCTTGGAAGAATGTTGCATAGCTGATGTCAGGATTCGATGAAAAGCCAAGAGAGTGAGCAAGAGAATAGGAAAAACAGGGGAAGAAGGGCAGTGGCAAAAGCAACTAAAAAAGAACAGGGAAAACAATACAGGATCTCCAATGCCTCTTCACCACAAGCAGTTAGATATCTCCAGAATGAAAAATCTTTTTACAGTTACTAGAAATGAAACCAATAGAAATGTAATAGTTTTCTATGGATACTAGTCTGTGAATCTATGGGAATGCAATTTACAAAGAATACAGTTCTTATGTTTTTTAATCTTCTTATAACATTCTATTACAAGGGATATAATTCCGCAGTAAATTCCATAGGTTACTAAAAACCTCATTGTTTTCCATTTAATGCTCTGATTCCTAAAATTTATAGAAGGGAGGGTTTCCATTTTTGTTGATTTTTGGTGAATTAATCACTTATGAAATATGCTGGGTTGACAGCCTAGGAGACCCAAGTGTTCTACTGATCCACAGGACAGATCCAGCACAGCAACGTGAACTTCCTCATGTGATTCTGCCAATATGACAACTCTCTAGCGATGACAGAGGAGTTCAGTTCATGGTTCAATTAGTCCTTGGTAGAATGCAAATTAGCATCAAACATGATGGTGACTGACATGGACACCTGGCATCTAAAAATAAGTATCAAGACCACCAATCTACTTCACAATGGCCATTGAGATGCTATCTAATAACAATGATGGGCTGGTACCAACCTGGGGTAGACTTGAACCAATGTTGCATCAGTATTTTGAAACTGATATTTCCCCCTATATTAAAATGTTTTTAAATGACCACATTTAACTAAGTGAGAGTGCAAAACAGATCAGGCCAGATATATCCAGTAGGCTTATTCCAGAAGTCAATGCACATCACCCAGAGATGAGCTCAGCCCATTGTCCCCTGACTTAAATGTCAAAGATCAGACTGGCTGACTCACAGAATGCCAAGGTAGGAGTTCTATAAAACTGATAGCACCCGTTCAAATGGTTTTACTTAGATTTGATTTTAACTAGACCAATGTTCCTTGCAAGCTGAGCGCTTGGGCAGCCACCCAAGAGAGATTCAGCTGATTAGCTGGGCACCCACAGAAAGCATCATACATTTCTATTGGTGCACATCCATACATGCCTCAGTGCACATAGCAAAATGTTTTCCACACATGGATGGAACAAATTAGAGGGAACATTGCTAGAGATGGACCTGCATTGCAAAGTCCAGATCCAAACTATCCCAAAATGTGAAAGTGGAGAAACAGAGGTTCAGATCTTGGATTTTCATTTAGGCCCAACCCTAGTTTTAGCTGATAGGCTCACTATGAAAAAACAAACCCCAGAAGGCATGAGGAATTTTTAAATGATCAAGATCAGGGATGACTAAAAGCCTGAGCCTTACATACCATTTGGAAGATAAAATGGTTTCTCTCTCTTAAAAAAAAACCTCTCTACATCTTAACACACAATACCTCTCTCCTTCTGCAAAGGTTATTTCAATTTCTCTGTCTTGGTAATTCAAGTGAGGCTGCTGCAAGTTTTTGTTATGGATGACTCAGGTCCATGAAGTTTGCAAAGCTTAGTAAAATACATTAGTTATGCGGTGCCTTTAAGAGGTTATTAGCAGAGATTAAGAGCCATCTGTGATAGCCAAGAGTCAGTGTTGACAGTGGAAAGCCCAAGGATATTTTTAGTTGTTTTATCTATACTTTTCATGTCAAAATCTATCTGCCACCTCATTATAAGCTGACATTGTGCCTATATTTATGGTTGTACTGGATTACTTACATTATGAAAAAAGGTTCATACTTCTACTGTGGGAACAATCAGATTCTCCTTACTTACTCAGTGGTAAATGCTGATTCTTCTTTTCATAGCTGTTTGAAATATTTTTTTTAATGGAAAGGTGTTTTTTTAATTAAAGTTAACCTTTGGAAATGTCATAATTACTAAGACTTTGTGAAATGCAGAAGAAGTGCAGACTTTCTGTTCCTAAGTATGATAATTCTTTGTCATTTCCTGTTACAGAAATAGACTCCGCAGAGTCTGCTGTCTCCGGCTTGCTTGTACAAAACATTTGTTCAATTTATGAGTTTTACTTTAACCAAACATTACTTACGTCATCTGAAATTTGACCTCCAAATGTGACCCATGTCCCTAGAAAAAATAAAATCATTTGTTACTGTTAAGGATTTTTTAAACTATACAGTACACTGTATAATTATAATAGTTTTCCTTAGACATTCTCGTGATGATGATTTGTTTAATGGCTAAGCTCTGTAATAAGATGTGCTTGTTTAAACTTATTTGGCAAATGAATCACAGAAAGTCTGTGTTTTCATTTCTTAAAGAGGTGTGTAACAGAAAGGTAGGGTATCCTTCTGTCTGGGGTGGAGGGAGATGAAATGTCTTAAAAAGAGCACACAGCTGATGGCTAAATCAGTTTGAAAATAGCCTGAAACTGATATGATCCCCCTACTTAGCTCAAATGAAAACTTGTCAAGGATTGATAGGTTTCATCTCCCTATCTTCTAGCAAGCTTCTTTTCCATAAACCTCCAGGAGGCCTTCCTTGTTCTTAAACCACCCCTAATGATGCATCAAGTTCAAGTTTCTGAGTCTGCACAATCCTATTCTTGTTTCTACCTCTGTTCTCTTTTCTTCCTGTCTACATACTCACAGGGACATATTCTCAGCTGGTAAAAAGTTCAATAATAATTTACATGTGCTGAGACTCAGCTCCAGCACTCTGTTTGCTTCATTCAGGCTTCCTGCCCAATCAACCATTTTGTATCTGCCTCCCAGTCTCATGTTTGCATTTCCATCTCTGCTGCTTCTTATGTATGGAACCATTTTCCGGCAGGGATGTTTCTGCTAATTGCAGAATAGTTCAGAAATCTGACAGGATTACTACATACATCATGAACAGCTAAATAAAACTCCTCCTGCACCCCTTTTGGCTGTTTTCTATCTTTCTTTGCCACAAGTTTATTTGGGGTAAAATGGTAAACTCAGCTGTGACTGAATTTGTAGATGACACCAAAATTTAGAAGAGTAGTAGTGTACACACACACACACACACACACACACAGAGCTACACTTCAACTTGAGCAGGGGGATTTTGAGCAGGGGGTGCTAAAGGCAATGAGGGAAGATTCAAGATGAAGATTCAAGACAAATTCCCCAACCCTCTATCCCCCAATCAACATATCCAAACCCTCTGCCCCCCTCTTGCACCCATACTCCCTCCCAGATCTGGCATCCCACTCTCCTGCTCCAGATCATAGATCTGGACAGAGAACTTTGATGCAACCATATTTTATGGGAATACACAGTTCCAGCAAAATTAAAATACCTCCTGAAATTGGCTTCGATTTCACCAGAATTTCATTAAAAAAAGAGAAGGGGGTTGTGGCAGTGTAGCAACATCTGACATTTCTGGAACAAAACTTTTTGTTTTTTGTTGTGACATGACTTTTTGTTTCAATTTTTATTTAACTTTGTATTATAATACATACATCAATAAGATACTGTATCATAAGAAGTCTAAATATAAACATTTTAATTGCCTCAAAACCATTTTGACTGATTCCTCCCCCATCCCCCAAACATTCTTTTAGTAATTTCTTCTTAATGAGAACTGTCTCTCTAATTCAAGCCTGGGCAAAATACAGCCCGCAGGCCGCATCTGGCCCACCAAGCCACTGGATCTGGCCCACAGAGGCAGTGGGGAGCCCCAGGGTGACTCCCCTGCTTGTCCCACAGCCATGCACACCATTCAGAAATGCAGTTATCCAGCCCCGTTCCTGTTTCAAAACTGGAGGGGAGGGGAGAAAGCTTCAGGAGCTGCCCCTACACCGGATACAATCCCATTATCTGGTTCAATAGGAGCTGCCTGTTTGAATAAAAGGCAGCCATGGAGAATCTCACCCCCCTCATCTTGGCTCATTTATTCACTCAGTTATTCACGTGGATGGGCAAGCAGGCTGCCTGGCTGGGAAACATTTTAAGCTCTGTAAGCCTTTAGCTCTGAAGGCAGGCAGCTTGGTTTGGTTGCTGGCTGGTAAGTCTCCTGGCCAGAGCCTGCCTCTGGAATCCCAGCCCCTCTCTTCTCCAACCCTCTGTCCCCCCCATCAACATATCCAAACCCTCTGCCCCCCTCTTACACCCATACTCCCTCCCAGATCTGGAACCCCACTTTCTGGCCCCAGATCATAATCCCCTCCTACCCTAGGTCACATCTCAAACCCCTGAATTCCAGTCTCCTGCCCTCTGTCACAACCACCTCATTTACCCAAACTCCCTCCCAGACTCCATTCTCCCTCCTGCACCCCAATCACCAGCCTATGCTCCCTTCTGCACCCAACCTCCTTCCCAGATCCCACGCCACCTCCATTAATATCACGGAAGAGTGTGGCCTTCGACCACTTTCCAAAATCTTGGAGTGGCCCCCCCCATCAAAAATTATTGCCCACCGCTGCTCTAATGAGTATATGTTTCAATGGGAACTGTCAATGTTTAGATTTAATTGGCTACTTATTAAACCACAGCATTTGTGGTACCAGCATTTAGAAGATTGCTTCATGAAGTACAACTTTTACTGTTTAAATTAGACAATATAGGTAAAATTACTATGCCTCTAAAAAGAATTGAAGTCACACACTGCATACTATGATTAAGTAATAAGTATACACTTTGACAGTCTTTGCTTCTGTTCTAAATATCTGAGACTATACAACATGATAAACACGATATGGAAAGCAGAGTGTTGAAGAGTGAAAAAAGGAAATATAAAATTATCTTTTGTTCTTTGTTACCTAGTTACCATGTCAGTTTGAATTACAGTACAATTATTCTTTTTGCAGCTATTCAGGAATTGCATATTTACCACATATAAAATTTACATATGTAAATGTAGACAAGTCTCAGAAGGGTAGCCAAGTTAGTCTGTATCTGCAAAAACAACGAGGAGCCCTTTAGCACCTTAAAGATGAACAGATTTAGTTAGACGTAAGCTGATAAAGTGGATTTTACTCATGTAAGTTTATGCCCAAAGAAATATTTAGTCTTTAAGGTGCCACAGGACTTCTTGTTGCCTGCACATGTAGTATGTATCAAACGTGATAACATAATTACTTACGATGAGCACTATACATTTAAACAAGGAATTTGACAGAGCTCAGAGTTAGTTATACTGTAGTTAGAAGATAAATTGTATAGAGAACCTACTTATACAAAACACAACATATATTGTTAGAGAAGAAATAGGTAACCCAGGAGAGGATGGGGTAAACAGAACTGCTTTATTGCCCACACAAGTTAGCCTCCGATCCCCATCACATCATTCTGAGTGGCAACAATTTGGCAACAATTATACCCATTTATCTATTTTACAGTAGTATGGTAATTCACACGTCTATCACTACTTTCCCTAAAACCTTATTTTTGTGTATTCATTCCCATACAATGAATATAAATAAGCAGGTGATGAATATTATTATACCCAGCTCTAATTACTGTTTACAGAATTTCTAATTAAATCAACACTTTTCTACATTACAAACTTTCCAAATCAGCATGTTACAGAGATTACAAGAAAAGTAACCCTGAAATATTTTATACAGAGCCAGTGAGGGTAAGTAAAAGACACAACAAAGAAGAACAGCTGCATGCTTATCTATTTTTCTAGGCTGCAAAAACGAAGGAAAGGAGCATATTTATACATCAGAAAGGATCATATCTGCTTTGACCGGACTCTAATTTATCTTTCCAGACTGCAGAAACAAAGAGGAAAAGTATGTTTAAGAGCAATGCCTGCTGTGGCTGAAGTCCTTAACCACTAAAGTTTAGTCAATGTATGTTACACTAACATACAGCTGCCCAGTTTTGTTTGTTATGTGGGCAGGCACATGCTTGACAGCTTGCATCAGTTTCACACATCCTCACCAGGAGTGACTATGTTGATGGAAAATGTGGTACACTGCAGGTAAGTATTCTAGCGTGCCCTGCGCTAGCACCCACCACAATGCAATGCTTTGTATTTGACAGCAGTTTCTGTGATATCAGCAACTTGTAGATAAAGGGGAAGGGGCTGGCATGGTATACCTAAACTTTAGTAAGGCATTTGACACGGTCTTGAATGACCTCCTGATCAATAAACTAGGGAAATACAACCTAGAAGGGGCTACTAGAAGGTGGCTGCATAACTGGCTCGATAATCATTCTCAGAGAGTAACTATTAACAATTCAGAATCATGCTGGAAGGGTATAACAAGTGGGGTTCTGCAGGGGTCTGTTTTGGGACCGGTTCTGTTCAATATCTGCAATGATTTAAATAATGGCATAGAGAGTACGATTATTAAGTTGCAGATGATACCAAGCTGGAAGGGATTGCAAGTGCTTTGGAGGATAGGGTCAAAATTCAAAATGACCTGGACTAGAGAAGTGGTCTAAGGTAAATAGGGTTAACTTTAATAAGGACAAATGCAAAACACTCCACTTAGGAAGGAACAATCAGTTTCACACATACAGAATGGGAAGTGATTGTCTAGGAAGGAGTACTGCAGAAAGGTGGTTAAACACTGGAATAAATTGCCTAAGGAGGTTGTGGAATCTACATCATTGGAGATATTTAAGAGCAGGTTAGACAGAGATGATCTAGACCAGGGGTGTGGAACCTTTTTTGGATCGGGGGCCCTTAGACAAAATCGGTGGGGTCTGGCTCTGCACTCTCAAAAGGAACAGGGCTTTGGGTGGAAGGGGTGGGGTTGGGGGCAGCCAGCCCTCAGTGCCACCCAAGTATGCCATGCCATGGCCTCCCACCCCAGGCACCCCTGAGACCCATCCAGATTGTGTCATATGATGTTCCAGCAGCAATTTAAAGGGCCTGGTGTTCCAGCCACCACCACTGCCTTTTGAATTGCTGGGCCCTGGGAAAACTGCCATCTTTAACACCCCCAATCCCCATTGGTGGGCCTGCAAACAACTCCTTCAGCTAGCTGAGGAAGACAAGAATCAACTTTCAAAAAAGTAGCAAAAAATCACAATTTCTTTGATAATTATTTAAGGTAACGATTTTCCAAGAATTATTCAACTTTAAACCACTATTTTGACAACTCAAAAACCATTATAAAAAGAAAAGGAGCATTTGAATTTTTT